TCCATCTCGAGCGTGGCAAGGGGCGAAAAATCGCGCGACGACAGCGGCGCGTGCGCGAGGGGTCTCACGGCCCTCGCGCTGCGCAACCAGCTTTGCGCGCGCGCGAAGAAATCGATGCGCGAGTGGGCGCGCAATGACACGCTCTCCCCGGCTGGGCAGCCCATCTCGGAGCACGCGGCAAGGCTATCCAATGGTGGCTCGTAGAAGGCGTTAGCCAAACGCGTGGTGAGCTGGGCGCGCGCCTACGCCAGCAGATGCCAGCGGGCGCCCGGCCTGCGCTCCGCGCCGGGGGATGCGAACGCACGCGGCCCTATCGCGCTCGATTCGCAGACAAATTGATCGCGTAGCCTCGCATTCATCTCCCCAAACCAGCTTTCGTCCGCGCGCCGAATCTTGCCCGCCAAATCCGACAACTCGTTGAAGAGACTTTGCCGTTTAACGACATATTTACCGCTGCGTTGAGCGCGCGCGGCGCAACTATGAAGCCGACGCCTGCGCGATCCTCGCCTTCGTCAGCTCTGCTCGCAGCGCCCGCTGATAGCGTGGCGAAGTGCCCCGTGTCTGTGACACAAGGTGTCTGATTTGGTTTGGCATGTCTCCTGAATGCATAATGCATCAATGTTCTCCCGTCCCATGATACGTTCAAGCTTCACTTGCTTTGCAATGGCGTTTCTTCCCCATCGACGTTCCGCGAAGCTATCGCGAGCGCGGAACTGGCGGGGCGCAAGCGGCCGCCCCAGGTTGCAGCAAGTGGCGTCTTGGCTATGACATTCGCCCCGACGCGTACTGCAGCAGCGTGGGGAGCTGGTTGGAACGCCCGGACAAGGCTCCAGAACTTTGGTATGCAATGTCTCTGCTATCGCCCCGCTGGCACCCTTTTTTTGCTGCTGTCCGCTGCCTTTCCCTGGAAATGCGCCATTGGCCCCAGTCTTCCCCGCGCCCTTGGGCGCGACAGTGTCGAGCTTGCCAGTGAGCTTAGACATGGGGTTGAGGACATCGGGGCGAGCTGCATCTGTCAACCAAGACTCCCACACATGGCCGTAATCCACGTAGAGTTTGCCTCCGTCGATCGTCGCGCGGGCAATCATATCCGCGCCCAGCCAGACTACTTTGCCGTAATCGGGGCCCGCCCAGACCGTCTTCGCCTCGCGCCCCCAGTGCTTCAACAACTACTTCAAGCTGAAAACGACTAAGTTGATGGCCCGCGTGGGGAGGGGCTGGCCCGCTTTCCCCCGGACTTTGCGCCCCCCCCCCCCCCCCCCCCCTTTCCTGGCGCGACGCTTTTCGAAACAGGCCCACATCTGTGCCTCGATCCCCCGCGCGCAGAAAATGCCGCGAACTCCGCGCCCCAGAATTCCCATTTAGTGTGCGCATCTTCCAGCTGTGGGCCAGGCCCGCCCCAGAGCTTTCCCCCGGCCCCTCCCGCGCCTTCTCCGAACGGAAGCTGAACCAAATGCGGCTGAGACCATGCCCTGCAGCCGGCGCACCTGCTGCCCAAATCATAGACGGCGCGCCGCTGGATGACCCCAAAGGGGGGCGGGGGGCCTTTCCCTGATCCGTCGTCGGGGGCGCCCTCCCCCCCCACCCCGCCCCTGTCCCGGTCCGTCGCCCCCCCCCCACCTCCCCCCCCCCCCCCCCTTTCAAGGGGGGGGGGGGGGCGGGGTTCTGACCCCGCCCCTCTTCCCCATTTGGCTGCCAAAATTGACCCCCCCCCTCCTTTCGCCGCGGCGCCCCCGGTCTCCGGAACCCGACCCCGACCGCCCCTAACACGAATCCTCACCCTTGCCCCAAACCCCAAACGCAACCCCAAACCTAACCCCAAACCCAAACCTTAGCCCCCCAAAGCACTCACTACTCATTACGCACTACTCACTACCCACAATTAATTCACTACTCGCTACTCACTACGCACTTCTCACTCACGGCTCACTATTCACTACCCACGACTCACTACCCACTACCAACTACTCACTACTTCCTATTCCCTACTCGCTACTCACTACTCACCACAAACTACTTACTACCCACTACTGAATACTCACTACTCGCTAAACACAACTCACAACCCACTCCTCACTAATCACAAATCACGACTCACTACCCACTAACCACTATCCGCTACTCACACTTCACTACTCACTACGCACTGCCCACAAACCACAACTCACTACCCACTATCCACGACTCCCTACCCGCTACTCCCTACACAGTACTCACTACTCACTACTCGCTAATCCCAACGCCCTACTCGCTACCCGACTCACTACTTACTACTTCCTACTCCCTACTCACTACTCCCAACTCCCAACGCACTACTCACGACCCAGTACTGAATACTCACTACTCACTAAACACTACTCACTTCCTACTACTCACTACTCACTAAGCACTACTCGCTACCCACTAACCACTACCCACTACTTACTACTGAGTACTCACAGTTCACGATTCACTACGCACTGCCCGCAACTCACTACTCACCATCCGCCACTCGCTGCCCAAAACGATAGATTCACTACCACTACTCACTAGTCGCCACTCACTACGCCCTACTCCCTACTCACTAGTCACTAGTCGCGAGGCGCTACTCACTACTCACTACTCACGACCTACAAATTTCTACTCGCAACTCCCTGCTCACTTCCCACCACTCAATACCCACTTCTCGCTTCTCGCTTCTTACTACTCACTACTCACGACTCCTTACTCACTACTCACTACTCACTACTCACTATTCGCTACTCTCTACTCGTTACGCACTACTCCCTACTCGCTAATCACCACTGACTCCTGGCTATTCCCTCCTCACTACTCACTACTCACAAGGCCCTACTCGCTACTCGCTACTCGCTACTCACTACTCCCTACTCGCTACTCCCTGCTCCGTACTCGCTACTCGCTACTCATCACTCTCACTACTCACTACTCTCTACCCACTGCGCACTACTCACTACTCACTCCTCGCTAGTCGCTACTGACCATTCCCTCATTTCTACTCCCTGATTATTACTCACTACGCACTACTCTCTACACATTACTCACTCCAAACTACCCACTACTCATAATTCCTTACTCTCTACTTCCTCTGGCCTTTTCGCTTCCGGACGCTCCAAGAGGGCCCAAGAGGCCTTCAAGACTGCTCCAAGACGGCCCACGAGGCTCCCAAGACGGCCCCGGAGCGGCCCAAGAGCGCCCCACAGACGGCCCAAGTGCTGCCCAAGGCGGACCAAGAGGCCCCAAGACGGGCCCAAGAGGGGCTCAAGAAGGGAACCGAGAACTGAAAAATCGAGCCCTCCGCCCCAGAAGGCGCCCAGGACCCCGAAAGAGGCCCCCAAAGACTCTCCAAGACACCCCCAAGACGCCCCAATAAGCTCCCGTGAGGCCCCAAGAGGACCAACAACGTCAGGCCCCAGGCCCCAAGAGGACCAACAAATACCGCCAAGAGCCCGCCGAAAGCCCCCCAAGAGACCGTCACGAGAGCTCAGGAGGCCCCCTGGAGGCCTCCCGAGTTCTCCAAGAGGCCTAAAAAGAGGCGCCAAGAGACCCCAAACGGCCCCACCGAGGCTCCAAGAGGCCACGAACGCGCAAGCAAACGCCTGCGATGGCACAATACGGGCCGGCGGAATGAGAGAAGCGATTCAATTCCTTACTCTCTACTTCCTTCCCACTACTCACTGCCCACTACTCACTATTCACTACTCACTAATCTCTACGCACTACCAACTACTACCACTACCCATTACCCACTACTTACTACTCACTACTCACTGCGCACTACTCACTATCAAATACCCACTACTCACATATCGCTACTCAAAACACTCTACTCTCTACCCACTACCCGAGAAGCCCCCTCCCCAACCCCCTGTTCGGCGCAACGGGGGGGAGGGAGGGATGGGGTTGAACCCCTCCCCCCCTTCCAGCGCCAAGGGTGGGAGGGGGGGGGTCCAGATCCCCCCCCCCGTTCAAGGGGGGAGGGGGGGGTCGGACCCCCCCCCTAAGGGGGGGAGGGGGGAGGTTCTGCCAGCACACCCCCCTTTTGTGTATTCGGGGCCATCCACTGGCGCACTTTCCAAATGACCAGAACATCGCCTGCTGATTACCTGTCAAAAGTGCGTCTCGAGCGCCTTGCACCCCCGTGGCCAGTCGCTCGACTGCGTCCTTGGACAGGCGCTGAGAGGTATAACCTCCTGCCGTTGCCGTGGTTGCAACGACTTCGGTACGTGCCAGGGTGACCTCGTTCTGGACGGCGGCCAACTCCTGAATCGTCGTGTCAGAGAAACGTGGGGACCTCCTGCAAGTTGGCCTCCTTGTCTACCACGCCGGCCTCGAGCTCGTCCAGCTCCCGACTATTGTGAACGAGGCGGTCCAAAGCCCCTGTGCAACATATTGTCGGGTGTGCGATGAGGCTGCTCCCCTGCTTCCACAAACTGCAAGTCTTCCTGCGCTTGCACGTCAAGGGGAGCGCCGCCTGGTAAGTCCACCTTGTTGTGCGAGTTGGGAGCACGCCTTGCTCGCACCGCACCGCGTTGTCAATGTCCTTGTGGGCACCTGCAAGGTTGTTGGAAGGACGACTACGCGGGCGCGAAGAAAGTCAGAAATCTGACCGCCGCGGCTCAACGCTGACATCAGGAACTCCACTCCACGCCTGTCCCTGCCGCACCAGTAGCAAGGAACATTCCTAAGAAGCGAGATGTGATCCCGCTGAACTGGTTTCCTCTTTATGGACGCTGGCCTCGCATCGCCGCCCGTCCGTGGTTCGAGAGATCCGCGATGCTGTAGTAGCTGCCCTACTATGACGATCCTCAGAAAACGGCGTGCAGAGAGAGAGAGAGAGAGCAGAGCATCTTCCCTCCCCCCTCCATCCCCGTCACGCCCCCACCCGTGCCCCCTTTGCACCCTGCGCTCGCCCTCTGGCTGCTGGCCCCTCCCACCCCCTGCCCCCTCGTCCTCGCGTCCCCGCTCCCCGCCGCTCCGTGCCCCGCCCCGCCCGCCGCAGCCTCGGCCTCGCGGCGGGGCCCGCTGGCGCTGTGGCCTCCCCGGTCGAGCCGCGGCCCTCTCTTGGCGCCGCGGGGAGGGAGGCGCGACAGGCAGGGAGGAACCCTGGACGCTGCTGAGGGCAAGAAGAGGAGCTGGAGCAGCACAAACCCGTCCCGTCGTCCTCGTTCTCCTCCTCCCCCTCCTCCTCCTCCTCCTCCTCCTCCTCCTCCTCCTCCTCCTCCTCCTTACTTTCACCCTCGCCGTCGTAACATTGTGTGTCCTCTTCCTTCTGCCTCATTCTCACGGAATCGGCGGAATGCCGTAAGCTTTTTTAACAGGGAGGAAGAAACATGCGGCGAGGTCGCGTCGCGGCGATCCCGTCGTTGGTTTCTGCCACCGACTTGACCGTTCGACCTTGAACGGGCGGCGGCTTTCCGATCGCCAGCTGGTTCCGTTTGGGCCCATCCTCGGTCACTGGCGGCGCTCACCCGTGTGAACACCCGGGCTGACTTCGCCGCCGCGCCGACACGACACGAATCGACCGTAGCACGACGAATGCCGAGAACAGGAAAATTAGCCTGGCGAAAGACCCAACCATATGCAGTTGTGAATAACGCCGTTGTGAGTATTGCATCGCCTTCGGTGGAGATCTCCATGGGGCCACGGAGCGTGAGAGGGGTGTGCCAAAATGTGTGGCGGGGACGCATGTGGGCACCCGCCACTGGGGCCATCGGTGGAGCTCCCTATGAGGCCATGAAGCGTTTGAGAGGTGTGCCGACATGGGTTGCGGGGACGATTGTGGACTGCGCCGGTTGGGCCTTCGGCGGGGTTCCCTATGGGGCCACGAAGCGTGTGAGGGGTGTGCCGAAATGGATGGCGGGGACACATGCGGGCACCGCCATTGGAGCCGTCGGTCGAACTTTCCATGGGACCACGAAACGTGTGCGGGGTGTGCCGAAATGGGTAGCGGGGGCGCATGTGGGCATCGCCACTGAAGCTGTCGGTGGAGCTCCGTATGGGGCCATGCAACGTGTGAGGGGCGCGACAAAATGATGGCGGGGACGCATGTGGGCACCGCCACTGGGCCCTTCGGTGGGGATCCCTATGGGGCCACGAAAAGTGTGAGAGGTGTGCCGAAATGGGAGGCGGGGGCGCATGGGGGCTGTGCCACGGGGACCTTCGGTGGGGCCGCGAAGCGTGTGATGGGTTGTGCCAACATGGGTGGCCGGGACGCATGTGGGCACAGCCACTGGGGTCTTCGTTGGAGCTCTCTATGGGGCCACGAAGCGTGGGAGGGGTATGCCGACCTGGGTGGCGTGGACACCACGGCACGTGTGAGGGGTGTGCCGAAATGTGCGGCGGGGACGCATGTGGGCACCGCCGCTGGGAATTTTTGGGTTATAAAAACGAACACCCAACACAACAGGGTTGCTGGAAAATAAATACTCGACGCGGAGGTCCCCATATGTGCATCTTACTTCCTGGCGCGTCCCGCTGCGAACATCTGGCTGTGAATGCCTGGGTGTGCGAACAAATCCGAATGGACGACAGGCCCGACGACGACGACGGCGGCGGCGACTAACGGCGACAACAACTCACAGGCATACAAGCGGTGAGCAAGCATTCCCTCTCCTTCCTCGTCTCCCTCGTCGAACTCCATACATGATCTTCCTGCTTACTCCCTTCTCCCTCCTCCCGCGTCCGCCTCCCTCCTCCTCATCCGTGCTCCCCCCTCCTCCCTGGAGGCCGTCCCAGCCTGGGTCTCCCGCGGACGCTCGTGGCCATCCAGGCACCGCCGAGACGCCCCTGGCGAGGGGCGGCTGCCGGAGAGCACCCCGAGCATCCCGAGGCGGGAGCAAACGGGAACGCCCGAAAGCACAGGACGACCCTCGGCAACTTCCTTTAGCCGAGCGCTGGGGCGGCACGATCTGTGCAAGTTCCACGGCTCTGGGTCCACGTCCGCCCCGCCTCCCCCTCCAGGTGGGGGGGGGGGCACCGCAGAACCCCGCACCATGGAGGGGGAGTGGGAACACCGTTGCACCACGCAACGCCCAACACGGGGGGGGGGAGCCATCGGGCGGGGGGATGGGCCGGGACCCGTTAGCGCTGGGCCGAAGGGAAGGGGGCCAGGCGGCCTGTCCTGAGATCGCAGGAGCAGGTGGTGCATGCGCCCTGCAGGCTCGGCAAAGGAGGGAATACGCACCGATCCTGGGCCGAGAGTGGGCCTGGCCCAGGGGCGGTAGATACATGTATGATAGACTCCGTCGCCGAAGACCTAGGAGAAATACCAGAAGCTACCCGACCCGTGCCCCAGGGCTGGAGGAGCGAAGGGCATTCTTGCGTCGGCGGCCAGGCAGGGGTCGCCTGCGCTGGCGGAGTGAGCTGCACTACACGGGGGGGCGCGTTTGTAGCGAAGTGGCTGGCACGCGAGAGGGAGAAAAAACCGGGCAGGACGGGCGGCCGCAGGGGGGGGGCGAGACGAGGAAGGAACGAACAACAACACGAACACACTCCAGATTTCATGACAAAAGGGAGGGGGTCAAAACCCTCCCAGACGAGAAAGGGCGGCCCATTGCCCAGATCCCCCCCGAACCCTCCAAGACACCTCAAATCAGACTCGGGGATGGACAGAACCCCCTTTAGTAAAACGTGGTTTAGTGAAAACGACCTGAGGCCCAAACCTGGCGGGCGCAAGCCTGGGAAATAACGGCCACGGCGCCCCCTCGAGAACCGAAAACGGACAATTCACTAATCGACGTGTCACTGTTGGGGGTTCTGTCCACCCCCGAACACCTCAAATCAGACCCCCCCCAAATGTGACCCCCCTCACTTTATTATGGAATCCGGAGCACGCTTTCGGAGGTTCGCGCGGACTCCTTGGACCTGCGCCGGGGCGCCGGCGCCGACCCAAGAGATCCGCACAGGACCTCCGACAGGCTGAACGATGCCCTTGCTTCTGCGACTGGACGAGGGTGATGCCACGATGCGATTGGCTCAGGGAATGATGGGAATCCATTCACAAATCGTCATGATGACATCTTGCTCCACTGCTTCGAAAAGCAGCGTGCATCGAAGCGGGAAATCGGATCGGATCGGAATGTACAATGAATCGGGCCGCATCGGAACGGAATCGGAATCGAACCGGATCGGCCGCGCAAGGATGCACAGCGACGCCATGTGAGCATCGGGCCGCATCGGATCGTCGGAATCGAGCTGGATCGGGCCGGCCGATGTCGGCGTCGAATCGACGTCGACCCCCCCCCAGAAGCCTCGACCCACTCCCCGGGACCGGTTTTTCATCCTGAATCGTTCTTGGACGGTCCCAAGGCCGGGCGAGGACCCTTGGAGGCCGAAAATCTGCCGATCCAGTCGGCGCGTGTGAGAGGCTCTTCGGCGCGAGGCCAGCCCAACCCAAGCTGAAGTACTTTAGTCCCTTTTGAATCGTCGTCGTCGTCGTCAGGGAGATCGACCGTTGTCGTTGTCGTCGTCGTCGTCGTTGTCCTTCTGGGTCGGCGGCACAGGCCGTAAGGCCTTCACATGAGTGCACGCCCGCGTGCACAACAGACCCTGGGCTGCCCACGGTCGCGCGCTGGATCTGGGCCAGGGCGTCGTTGCCGCCGCGGGGGGGGGGCCAACATGCGCTGTCCCTTGGGTGGATTAAAACATGGTCTCGAGGAGAGCCGTCCGTCGTGTCACGTTGTTCCCGTCCTACTTAAGGACCACATCCCGGAAATGATTTCGAGCACCCGGAGAAGTGTCAAAAGAGTGTCGAAACAGTGTCGGGCGAGTGCCCCCCAGGGCCCGACACGTGAAAACCCTTGAGTTTCGGTACTTTTTTGGCGCTCGAACTTCTTTCTGGTGATCAAGGCTAAAGTAAGTTGAAGCATCATAACCGTCGTGCTTGCTCCACGACGCGAGGGGAGAGCATGCTACGCATGGAATGAATTCAATGAAAATCGATTGCAGTGGATCCGTGAGTGGATCAATCTTAATTGATGAGGCTATGGTGCCTCTTTTGATTTTGAACCGGCTATGATGCCCGCTCGTGCCCACTCCGTCCCGTCTTCAGGGACTTCGCATCCCCCTATGATGGTAGGATGGGAAGATGGGCGAGGGGCGGCCCCCGCCCGCCGCTGCGCGGCCGCCCCGGCGACTGCCCCTCGGCGGTCCGCTGCCAGCTGCCGCTCGCCCGGGCGCCGACGCCCTCTTCGGAGGCGCCAGCGCCATGTGGGCCAGCGCCGCCGGCCCGCTGCCGGGGCCTCGGGGAGGGGGGGGGTCGGCGGCGAGCGAGGGGGGAAGGATGAGGAGGACGAGGAGGAGGAGGAGGAGGAGGAGGAGGAGGAGGAGGAGGAGGAGGAGGAGGAGGAGGAGGAAGAAGAGGAGGAGGAGGAGGAGGAGGAGGACCTCGCAGCAGGCGGCGGGGCTTCTCGGAAGCCCTCTCGCGCCCTCCTGAGAAGTTTATGCGCCTCGGGGGGAGGCTTAGGAGGAATTCTCTCCGAAGTCCAGGGGGCTCCTGCGCCTTCTGAAAAGGCCCGCCCCTTCTCACCCCCCATGGGCTCGCAGCCGAAACCTTCTGGCGCACAACGTGGTGGCCCCTGAGCCCCGACGGCGCCGATCGCAAACCAAACCCTGGCCTAACCACGCGCACTGCAGTCGCGGAGAAGAGCGGCCCTCCTCCGTCCCAAATCTCCGACGATGCCATTGCCTCGATCTGGCAATTTTCCTTGATTCTGGCCTCGAGGCAGGCCCGGCTTTTGAATGGATCTGGGGCGAAGAGCTGTTCCCAGGGATGGGGTTCGGCGGCGCCCGACGCAACGAGGACGAGGAGAACCCTCGGACAAACTCGGACAGACAAACAGAAACCGCGCCCAAACGGCGCATTGGCAAAGAAGAGTAGCACATGCGCGTGGAAAAAAAATGCTACCGCAGCGCCTCGGATTTTCCACGCCGGATGCTATGTTCCAGCGTGGTGCGAGGGAGAACTGCGCAGCTACCGCGGATATCCCGTTGCAAAGGAGGCCAAAGAGGAGGGAGAGAGGAGGAGGAAGTGGGGCGAGGAAGGGAAGAGCGAGACTCGGCTGAATAGTGTTGCGCCACAGCCGAGTGCCACACATAAGGGTTTTGCAATGGGGTTTGCAGCTTGTCGCGGCCAGGCCAGCCACGGCCAGGGCTTGCGCGCGTAAGTGAGACGTCCACAGTAGTCGAGGCCGCCCTCGCGAGCGTCGAATATTCCACTTCCGCGGCGCCACCTGGCAAGACTGGTAACTTTCGAAAACCATTGCTTCAGGGGGGCTCTTTGGAGCGCCCCGGGCAAATTGACCATAAAATGCAAGCTGCCTTTCCAATAGAGATAAAGGTAACAGTCCGGTGCTGGCGAGTCCCCGAACTTATGCATTGCCAACTGTGGACACATATGCTGGCACAATATTGCGCATCCTCCGCAAACACCTCGCCTGGAATGCATCGAGTCTGTCTCTGTCTACTTTCAGGGGCATGCACGATTCCAGCCCATATAAAAGTTTAGCAAACACGCGCGCCTCCAATATGCGATGCTTCTGGGTTTTGCTCAGATTGGCGTGGTTCCAAACCGAGCACAGCGTTTGAAATGCGCCTCTGACTTCGCCAAGTCTTCGCGCGAACTCCGCGCGAGGGCCCCCGTCGACGCTCAAGAAGCCCCCAAGATATACTGCATTGCTTTGCATAACATTGGTTCACCATCTGGTCGAACAATAATTGCGTTTGCCTTTATTTGTAATCGCATTAATTTCCCGGAGTTTAGTTCCAGCCCGCAAGTTTTTCCAACCGCACCCACCAGATTTAGATGTGTTTGGAGCGCGTCGGGGCCCCTGGAGAGCAGCATGGCGTCGCCTGCGTGCAGCGCGTCTTCAGTGACCGGGTATGGTGGGGCATCCCTGCTTAGTTTTTGCACTGCCAAGCGCTTGTCAACAGTTTCCAGTAATACTGGCATGACTATGATAAGCAAATATGGCGAAAGCGGGCCCCCTTGTGCGATTCCAACGGACTGTGCTCTCTGCGATGACGTCGCGTCTGCGTCTTGAACTGCGAATTTGCGCACTTTGTAGATGCCCTTGATCACCTCGACCATTGCTGGTGGGACACGGAATCGTTGTAGCGCGTGGACAAGTCCTTTAGGGCTGACGCGGTCAAAAGCGTTGCCCCATTCAAAAAGTAGGAACAATAGTTTGCCATGTTCATCCTCCGACGCGGCGTCGATCAGCCGGCGCGCCAACAATGGCGCTTCGCTGGTGTCGCGGCGGGGCCCGAAACCGCACTGAGACTCCCGTAGTGATTCTTCAGCCCCTCCGTGCTTGAGTCTTTCTAATAAGACGCGGGCACATATATTATACCCCACTGTGGGCAAGGAGATCGGCCAGTACTTGGGTGGCAGGGATGTGCCTCCCCTTTTTGAAATAGTTACAAGAGATGCTTCTCTCTGCTCTCCCGGGATGTCTTTGGCCTCCCAGCGCGCGTTGCATAGTGGTGTCAATGTCCGCTGCGGCCGCGCTATCCAGCAGTGATGTCCATAGTTCTGGCGGCGCCCCATCGGTCCCAGCAGCTCAGTGCATGCGAACTTGCTTCAATGCGTCTTTGATTTCTTCTGGTGTGATCGGCCCCAACTCAACGTCCATAAATCCATCTTGAAGTGGCTGGGATGTCTTCCGGTGCTCGCCATTGCACCGCCCCCGAGTAATCTGGCATGGCGGTTGCCCGCTGGGGCGCGTCTACCTATTCGCCTTCGGCGTCCGAGAGCCGGCCGCGCTTCGTATCGACAATCTTCCGCAGTGTCTCGATTGCCTCCCGCCCATTCATTGCAATACTTTCCGTAAACCAATGTTTCTGGTCTGCCGTGGAAGATTTTTGGGTCATCTCGTTGAGGCTCTACTCTGCGGCGCCGCGGGGGGCTTGCCCATGTTGTCGCGCCTTGTTCAACTCTTCGATGATGCGGGGCGCGCGGTCCGATATCCAAGGACGTAGTCGAGGTGTTGTTAGGGGCGGCATGCGCGCAGAAGCCGATTACAACGTGCATCGTGATACTGCGGAAACGCGATCTTCTAAGGAGGCGCCACGCGCACCTTTTCTCCATTCCTCCAAAAAGTTGGATGCGTGCATGTCTTTCGTGTCCTGGTTCCGCAATGCCTTCGCGTCGAATTGATCCTTTTAATGCTTCCGGCCTGTTTTGGGAAATGCGATGTCAAGGTCTACAACGAGCGCAAAGTGATGCGACAGAAGCGGCCGATACCGATCACTCCAAACATCAGAGATACAAGACATCCAGATTCTATTGGTGATGACGTGATCAAACTGCCCAGAACTCCCTGGCGCAGTGTCGCTTGAAGGGCCCACGCCAATATTGTAGCACGCAATCGCGTGATCGTCGGAGTGCTGGAAAAACGTGTTCGCGACGCAACACTCCAATTCATGACATGCTTCAAGAAATAATTCTCTGTTTGATGTAGGTGGCCACGCAGATACATGATTCCGGTACACGTGTTCCCCCAGGACGTATTCCCCCCCCGGGCATTGGCCCAGCAGCAAAGCGTTGAAGTCGCCAAATATGATAGTTGGCCCATGCGACCGGCATCTCGTACCAAACGCGGCCAAGTCGGAATAGTAATCACGGCGAACATCATAATCATACTGTCTTATGTTTGTGTAGGCGCATGCCGTTGCCAATGTCAGACTCCCCACAGGAACTCTTACTCGCAGGCTCGCCATGCGATTATCTTTCTGGATGTAGCCTTGGGCAGCGCGCTTTGCCCAAAGGGGATGCAATGCACCCCGCTCCCGCATATTCTCGCTCATCCTCTTCTTTCCCAGATAGAATAGCAGAACAACCTTCGACGTCGAATGCCGGCGACCCTCTGCAGCGCGTTCTTGGAGACAGAGCACCGCGATGTCCATATCACGCATGTGCTTAATTAGCTCGTGCAGCTTCTGCGGCAAATCCAGGTTGATACCTTCGGCATTCCAAGTTGCAATCCTGCCGCACCTGACCCGCAGGCATGGGAATGTGACCCACTTGCCCGCCCGAGCTGTGGTGCTGCCAATGCGCCGTCGCATTTCCTATTCCGACTGTTGGTCCCCCTTCTTGCCCTTTCCACTGCCTTTCGTCGTAGACTGGCCCAGCGTATCGTTAGCCCTTGAAGTCAGGTGTACTTCAAGAGTGTTGGTAAGTTCTCCCCAGTCTTTCCATATGCCTTCCCAGGAAATGCGCAACGTATTTTGCACGACCTGAGCTTTGACGACTGGGTATTTGGCAACGTTGAGAACACATTTGACGGTATCCACTCGCACCTCCGCTTTGCTGTATCCCCTCTCCAGAATTAGCTTGCGCAACCCGAGCAAGAAATGTTCTGGCACTCGTTTCTCGATCGGCTGATCGGCCCTAATCCAGATGGTGTTCCCGTTGTGTGTAAGCTGCGCCCTACCAACAACGTTGACGAATGTATCCCGGGCATCTTTGTTATTGAACTTCACGAATATAATGCTGTTGAAATCTCTTTTTCGCGAACATGTCTACGTATTCCGGCGGCTTGATACGTGCGAGCTGTTGCTTCAGAAAATCAACGGCTGCCTCCATATTAGCAAAATCACCCAGGCCACCGACAACTGCATTGCTTTGCGCCTGCTCGTTCGTGGTGAGTGCCGCTACTTGGCGCTCGAGCTCGTTGATTTTCACCTCCATTGTGCTGTCCACGCTGCGTGCTGACCTAGTGCCAGCAGATGCTGGGTACGACGGGGGAGCTTCGAGAGCGGGGACCCAATCGGTAATCTCGTTGATGGCCGAACGAAGGGGCTGCACTGCGCCCCGAAGATCCAGTTGAGAAACTCCGTGCTTCTTTATGGCCTGAATGTCGTTGTTGATAGGCTGTAGTAGTTGTTCGCGTAGTATGTGTGCGAACTGGCTCACAGTCAATCCGTCCATCTCCTCAAAAGTCGTCACGGGCGCGCCTTTTCCTTTGCCTTTATTTCCCTGTTGAACGCCATCGCCGTCAAGCTGGCGCGCCAGAGCTTGATGTTGTAGCTCACTCGTGTACGCGAAGTCGTCCAGCCCGTCCATTTCCTGCAGTGGGCTGTGGATCCGATGCTGCTTTGCCTTCCCCCCAGTCGGCTGCGGCGAGGATGGAGAAGTAGATGATTGAAAGGGATCCTTGAAGAGCTGCCTGACCGGGGTGACTGGCGCGCGTGTTTTGCCACCTGCCGAGGAAGACATCACACAGGTAGCAGAAAAGCTTAGCACGAAAACCTGTGGTCGCCGGGCAGCTCACCACAGGTGTCGGATCGGAATCTGGATCGAAGTCTGGACAGGGGTATGCAATACACGAACGGCTGGCGTGCAGAAGTGCCTGCTTGAGGCGTGTGAGACTTGAGCCAAAACGACTTGAGCCAAAATGGCTAGTTACGGGGAATGTTTGGCGACGGGCGCGTGGCGCGTGGCGCGAAATCGGACAAGCTCGCGTGGCGCGAAATCGCGACGGGGAATGTTTGGCCGTTTCTGGTGGCCGTCGCCGGGCCCCGGCGCAGTCAGAAAACTGCTTGGGAAGAGCGGCCAGCCCTCTGGGAGGGATCGATCAGGGCTTCCAGGAAAGCCTGTATTGAATTGTGCTTATCGAAGTTCTCCACGTAAGGATGTGAAGGGCTTCGCGAGCTCAATGGGGCACAGCAGTAGAGGCTCATGAAATTGATATGCACGCATGGAAAGACATATGAATGAAAAGATGGGGAAAACATGATCCATGAAAATGACACGGTTTTAGTATAGCCCGCGCAGTCCGACATGGCCTCGCTGGAGGTTGAAAATGTGCTACTGGTGAGGCTGGTGGAGGCTGGAGGGCACGCTTCCCGATCATTGTTAGTGTGAGGATGAGAGTGAAGGGGGGAGATTGAGGGTGGACGAAGGGAGCCGGAGGGGCGATGGAGGGAATGAGTGGGGAGGATGGGGGGGGAAGGGGGATCATGGCACGAGGGAAGGGGACCAGGACGGCAAAATGAACTCAAGGGAGCGAGGGGGATTCCTATAGGAGTCGGGGCGGAGAGTGAAACGTGAGGGGATGTGGCGGATGGCATGCGGAGCGGGAGGGGGGCGGCGGCGACGGAGGGGGAGGCAAGGGGAATGCACGCCTCAACAGCAGGTTTATCGCTGGAGCTGATGCCCTCGCTCGTTTCTTACGCCGCCCGGGTTCCTCCTGCCCGCCCTGCAACTTCTGCCCCTCCTGCTCCTCCTCCTGCTCCTGCTCCTCCTGCTCCTGCTCCTCCTCCTTCTCCTCCTCCTTCTCCTCCTCCTCCCTTGCTGCTCATCCTCCTCTTCCTGCTGCTCCTTCCTGCTGCTCCTTTTCCTCCTCCTTCTCCCGCCCCCCCTCCTCCTCCGCTTCCTCCTCCTCCGTCTCTTCCTCCTTCTCCTCGTCCATGCCTATTCCTTCTAGATAACTCCTCCCTGCACCCTGAGGCCGGTCGAAAGGGCGGGCCGGGCGTTTCGACTGAGACTTCCTCGCCATGTATGACTCTGAAGCTTACACATTGGCAGCATTTCCAGACATGGAGGGCGGGCCGTTTTCAAAGTGTGGCTCCCACCTCAGCGACGCACACATTCGTTCAACACATATGCAAGATATTCACGAATTGAGGGAAGCAGTTTCCAAACTGTGGCTCTTGCTTTTGCGCCGTGCACATTCGCTTGAACAAAATGCAGGCGTTTCAGTGGTTGAGGGCGCTTCATTTTCAAAATGTGGCTCTCGCCGCGCATATTCGTTTCAGAGTTTCATGGGTTCCCACGGTCAACATGCCAGCGGTGTTGAAGTCCCAGGAACGGTGTTCTGGCACGATTCTGGATCAACAAAATGCAGCAGTCAGGGTGATCCTTGGCGTCGGAGTCCCGACAATGATGTTTTGGCATGCTTCGGGGTCTTCCAAAAGGTTGTTTCCCAACGAGGCAGTTCCACCAGTGGAGATGAACCCTTGTATTGGGACAATGAAGAGGGAGCTTGGAGGGAGGGCTACTTTCAACATCGTTGATGAGTCTCAGGTTTGCAATGGTCCGCTTCCTCCTCCTCCTCCAGCATACCGCTGCGCGATCCTTCTCCTCCTCCTCCTCCTGCACACCTCTACGCGACCATGAAGAGTCTCCAGAGACTCCTCCTCCTCCTCCTCCTCCTGCTCCTCCCCCGGGCGCCAAAGGGGTGGGAGAAGCGGGCACTCCTGAAGGGGCCCTGGGACACAAAGAAATAGGCACAAATACCAGGATTACCCATATGCTTCCATATCTTCTGTTCATTGTGCCTGTGTTTTTTCCCCTCGCGAACTCCGGGACCCGGCTGGGGCCGCGGCCGCAGATGGGGATCGCTGACCGCCGGGCGGGTCAGGGACTCGAGGAACCTCCCGCCGCCGCGCCGGCGGAGGCATGGAGGGCAGGACGACGGCCAGGGGGTGAGCAGAAGGAGAACGAGGACGAGGAGGAGCACGAAGAGGGGGAGGAAGAGGAAGAGGGAGACAGCGAATCATGGGAAGAAACATCATCCTGGCAAGCAGTTCGTAGACGACGATGGTAACGATAATGATGATGGTGCTGCTGAGGATGATGATACTGATGATGGTGCTGATGATGGTACTGTTGTTGATGATGATAAGTATTATGTTGATGATGATGAAGATGATGATGCTGACGATGATGACGATGATCATGACGACGATGATGACGATGGCGATGGCGATCAATATGATGATGATGATGATCATGATGACGATGATGAGGATGGTGACGATGACAACGACGATGATGGTGGCGATGATGATGTTGAACTTGATGTTGACGTTGATGATGACGACGACAACAACGACGACGGTAAACATAACGATGACGATGACGATCATGATGTTGATGATGATGGTGGTGATGATGATGATGCTGATGCTGATGATGATGCTGGTGGTGGTGGTGATGATGATGATGATGAGGATGAGGATGAGGATGATGATGATGATGAAGAAGATGATGATGATAATGATGATGGTGATGGTGATGGTGATGTGGAGGGAAGAGGGGCGGAGGAATGGCCATGAGGAATAAGAAAAGGAGGGGGGAAGGGAGGACGGAAGGAAGGGAAGGGCGGAGCGGCAGGCTGGCGCTCGCGCATCGTCGGCGGCCCGGGGAAGGGGGGAGGGGGGGAGGGACCGATGAGGGGGGCGGGGTCGAGAGAGGAGGGAGTGAGGGGACCGGAATCGGAATGGGGCAGCATGGCCATGACGGTCACTGCACGCTGTGCTGAAGAGAGGCGGCAAGCGGGACGCGAGGGAAGCACCAGGCCCCGCCTCGGCACGGCGTGCTCTGTGAGCCGGGGAGCAGGGAGGGAGCTGGCGATGCGGCAAGCTGGGTGCGCTCGCGCCACGCTTGGCATCCTGCCCGCCCCCACCTATCCCTTCCCGTTGCGCTGGTTTCTACTCTGTGCGCCGTCGGGTGCCGCGACGGGCCTGGAACACCCAAAAGGGCACCATCGGGCTATACGCGTTTGGAAACAAAACATGATGGACCCACGAACCCGGAAAGGGGTATAGAACCGCACGCATGGAAACTTTTTCACGACACCGTATTGGGCGACGGGCACTTCCACGAGACACCCCGCGAAACATTCCACGAGACACGGGCGACCGTTTTCAACGTTTTCCTGGAAGCATTCCACGAGACACTCCGCGAAACAGTCCACGACACACCCCACGAAACATTCCACGACGACAGGCAACCACTCAACCAAGGCGGTGTGGTCGTGCTGGGGAGTGGTCGTGCTGGGGTGTGGTCGTGCTGGGGGGTGGTCGTGCTGGGGGGTGGTCGTGCTGGGGGGGTAGTCGTGCTGGGGGGTGGTCGTGCTGGGGCGTGGTCGTGCTGGGGCGTGGTCGTGCTGGGTCGTGCTGGTCGTGCTGTGGTGAGGTCGTGCTGGGGTGTGGTCGTGCTGGGTGATGGTCTTGCTGGGGTGGGGTCGTGCTGGGGTGGGGTAGTGCTGGGGTGTGGTCGTGCTGGGGTTTGGTCGTGCTGGGGTGGGGTCGTGCTGGGGTGGGGTCGTGCTGGGGTGTGGTCGTGCTGGGGTGTGGTCGTGCTGGGGTGTGGTCGTGGAAACGCACGGATTCGCGCCCCTGGAAAAATCAAATCTATACGCACATACGTAAAAGCACATGGACTCGTGCACCTGAAGAGGCTCCCCTTCCCCTTCCCCCACCTGCTCCTCCTCCTCCTCCTCCTCCTTCTCCTCCTCCTCCTCCTCCTCCTCCTCCTCGTTTCCCGCGCTGCGTCAAAAGGAGAGAGTGTCTAGCCAACTCATGACCGAGTGACGTGGGCGCGCGGTGCGATATGTGCATCGCGCCCCATAAGGCACATCTATAAGCACATACGTCGTGCCCCTGGAGAGGGCAAATCTCTGGGGCGCCCAGGTCCCACGTTCAACCTCGAACGCCCGCGCGGGTGTCGCCGCCGCGTCGAATCGACCCGAATCTGCCGTACCCCGGAATCCACTCAAAACGAGTCCCCGGACCCGTCCTGGAGTCCAAAAGCACAAGTTTCCCGCGCTGCGTCAAAAGGAGAGAGTATCTAGCCAATTCATGACCAAGTGACGTGGGCGCACGGTGCGATATGTGCATCGCGCCCCAGAAGGCAAATCTGTAGGCACATACGTAAAAACATACGGATTCGCGCCCCTGGAGAAATCAAATCTATACGCACATACGTAAAAGCACATGGATTCGTGCACCTGGAGAGGGCAAATCTACAGGCACATACGTAAAAACACGCGGGTTCGTGCACCTGGAGAAGGCAAATCTCTGGTGCGCCCAGATCCCTCAAGTTCTACAAAACAAGCGATTCGCTCGAGACATCCTCGGTAACTCTGCGGAGCAAGCGCTTCGCTCGAGACATCCTCAACACACGAAAGAATGGCCCGCACCCTGTGATTTATCGATCGGGATTTCAAAAACAAGCGTTTCGCCTGAGACATCCTCAAATTTTAATCCGCCGGCCCACCTCGACCTCGATATTTATCAGGGAAAGAATCCGCCGGCCCATCTCAGTTGAGGCACCGGGGACAGGTTTACCAACCAAAAGAGAACCCTGGGCCGGCGCCCTTTCCGGGGAAAAGAGGAGGAGGAGCTGGAGGACGAGCAGGAGGAAGAGGAGGACGAGCTGGAGGAGAAGGAGGAAGAGGGAGGGCGAGGAGGAACACCGGCAACATCAAGGGAGGTGGGGAACCAATAAGTACGGATACCGCTGCTACTCTCGAGACCTCTCTCTGGGTGCGTTCTGACCAAAATTTCGAGCGGTGGCGACGAGGGCCTGCCAGGAGGCCCAAAAAGGCAAATCAAACAAAAGGGTAGCGGTATGGGTACCAGTTCCTCCTGTGTGGAGGTGGCCGAAGGAACCCTTCTAGGGCCCAGCTTCCGCCTGCTGCTTCGGCTGGGCCAGGGAGACGTCAGACTCGGTTTCGGGGAATTCGAGTAGGCCTGACGGGGCCGTCAGACAAATGACGAGACCCGGTCTGAAGCTTGACGCGAACCCCCGCTGCAGACGTCACGAACACTGGGCCGCCCAACCCCAGCACTCGGCGGCGACGACAGGGACGAATAGCCCAGGGGCGGGCATTACACGTATTCGCCCGGGAGCCTTTTCGAAGACACAGATCATCGGCGCACCTGAATACCTGTGTTGCTCTCCCCTGGGCTGTTCGCCCCTGTCGTCGCCTCTGGGGCGCCGAGGCTCTTCAAACATCGGCGGCTGCCCCGAGCTCGAGCCTGCGCCTGCCGACGCGGGCGCACCTCGGGCCGGGCACCGGCGCAGTCCGGCCCGACGCGCAGCTTGCGCCGGCGGGGGCTCCTCGCCCACCCGGAGGGAGGCGCAGCGCAGTGCTCCTTCGAGGCAGACGGAGCTGCAGGAGCAGATCAGCTTTCGACGGCCCGACAAAGCCGCATAAATGCATGCTTGGAAGCATGCGAAGCATCAACTTCAGACGGCATTCTTAACTCTTCAAGGCAGAAGAAGACGCAAGCATATGCACCTCCGACGGTTCGCACGGAGTTCTCGGGCGGCGCCAGAGGCGCTTCTAGTGGGGTCCAGCGCAGATCCGAGAAATCCGCGCGGACCTCTGAATTGTTATGTTTATGTAATTGTTTAGTCCCCGATCCTCCTCCACGATGGGAACAAGGAACAGCGACACCACCACCGCCAGGGACCACCAGAGGAGCAGCCAGTGGGGGACCCCCTGGTGGTGCGACCCCCCCCCTATCGCTCGAGACATCCCTGATTCCAGCTCGGGGAGGCATCGTGGACCTCCTCGCTGGATGTGGCCCCCATGGTGGTCGTGGTGTCGCTTCTCCTTCCCCCGACCACGAGCCCAAGGGGAGAACAAAAGCTGCACGAACACATGCTTTCGGAGTGCCTTGCTCTGTCCACCGCCCCATATTACGTTACCCACCTCCACTTTCGTCGCTCCTCCTGCTCCTCCTCCTCCTGCTCCTCCTCCTGCTCCTCCTCCTGCTCCTCCTCCTGCTCCTCCTCCTCCTCCTCCTCCTCCTCCTCCATCTCCTCCTCAGACCTCCCCCAAGCTCCTCAACCATCCGCCCTCCAAAGGGAGCGGGTCCTGGAGGACAGGGGGCCTTTTCGCCCTTCTCGAGCCCCTGGGGCGGGGGCCCTCCACGAGCCACGGGACCGTACACAAAACGACTGTGCTCGGGATGAGCAGCTGGTCCTGGGGAAGGCCACGCGGTCCTAGACCCATGTCCCTGGAGCCCCCTCTCCGTCGTGCCGACTGCCGGCTCCGGTCCCGCTGCGGATGCCACGACCTGGGAGTGGCCGGGCGAGCGAACAGAGTGGGCCGCAGCACCTTTTGGCGTCGGCGGCCAGGCAGGGCAACTGCGCTGGCGGAGGGCTGCCTCCTAGACGGGGCCCAGGGACACACACACACACAAATACATACACACAAGTAACAAGATTCCCCATAACTTCGCAAATTTGTTGGATTTTCGTCTTCCCCCCCACTTCCCATATTTTCCACATTTTACCGGGAATCGGCGGCGAATTGTCTCCGTGTGTTCTCTCCCCTCCTGAGACCTAAACGAGGGTACTCTTGCAGCGTAGTGTGCCACCGTGCAGGAGGGAGGGGACAACGCAGAGGAGGCGGGCCGCAAGGATCGGGTCGGGCGAAAGGGGGGGATAGCAAAGGGTGGGTTTGAGAATCAGCTCACGTAGCTGATTTTCCCGGCGTCTCCCGGCGCCGGAGGCGGCTATGTATCGAGGAATGGGCCCCTCGGTGAGGCCGAAACCAGCTGCATGCAGCAAATTTCGTAACCCCCCCTTTCCCAATCCCCCCCTTTCGCCCGGACCGAAAGGAAGGGGCGGAGGGGGCGAGCCGCTCGGGGAGGCGGGTCACGCCCAGAGCGCGTGGCTCGGCCGGCGCGCCGCAGCACACAGCCGTTTGCGTGTCGTTCGACCGATGCCCAGCCCCAGCGGCGTGGCCTGGGGCCCCGCTGCCCGACCTACCCCCCTGGGTGGGGAGTTCGGCCGTTCCCTTCGGGCTTCGAGGGGTGCACCCCCAGCTGGGGTGGTGACTTGGTGGGGGTCTCGAAGGGGATGGGGATGGGGATGGGGATCGGTTGAACGGTACCGAGCACACGCCCTTCCTGCCAAGATCGAGCCCAGGCGGGTGGGGCGGGAGAGCGGAGACGTCGGGCGCGGGCAGGCCGACCCCTGCCGTGACGAGCCCCCTCGCCCTCGAGCACCCGCGCCCGCCGCCGGCCCAACTCTTCGAGCCAGGCGGGGGGGGTCGTCGCGTAAGGTCGGTTGGGCCGCGCACCTGGATACGCAGAGGAGAGGGGGCATGAAGAGGAGGACGACGAGGAGGGAGACATGGAGGGAGGAGGGGGGAGGAGGGACGAACGACTGGCAATCCGAAAACACACTCCCCTGCGTGAACACGTTGACGTTGCCCGTGAAGCCCTTGAAGAGCACCTCCAGGGAGCTTCGTTCTGAAATGTAGGATGGGCACTGCACCAATCTGGTGATCATGCGGCCAGAGAGAGAGAGAGAGAAAGACAGGCAGACAGCCAGACAGACAGAGAGGGAGAGAAATACATAATGAGAGAGAGAGAGAGAGCCACACAACATGCATGCACACATGCATACATGAATGCGTGCATACACATATGCATGCATACCCATACACAAACATACACACCACATAAACACATATACACATACCCATACACACATAAACACATACATGCATACACGCATAAGCACACACAGCCATACATACATATATACATACATACATATGCACACACCAACACAACCATATATAACACAACCACACATACATACAGACATACATATTTACATACGTAGACACACACATATACATACATATGGTCGTGCACATATACACACATCTGCGTAACACCCCGCAATTGCGGATAAGACTGAGGGGGCGGGCGCGGGCGACGGGGGCGTCGAGCCGGCGAACCTCGTGCCCCCCACCTTCCCTGTCGATGGCGCTCTCCTCCTCCTCCTTTTCCTCCTGCTCCTCCTCCTCCTTCTCCTCCTCCTCCTCCTCCTCTTCCTCGTCCGCGTCCTCGTCCTCATCGTCGTCGTCGTCCGCCTCCTCCTCCTCCACATCCTCCTCCTCTTCCTCATTTTTCTTTTCTTTTCCTCCTCCTCCTCCTCCTCCTAATCAGTGCGAGCAAACCCGCCGCAGGCGCCGATTTGCGTGCTCTGACAAGTTTAGCGCGGAGGGAATCGCTGGTGGGCCACCCGGAACGAATGCAAAAACAGCCCGCCGCAGGCGCCGAATTGTTGGCTTGTTCAGTGAACGTAGTTTTGGTCGCGGGTGGGTCGCGGGCTCTCCACCTCCACCCGACGAAAGGAATTCAAAAACAGCCCGCCGCAGGCGCCGAACATTTTGATTCGTACGCTGAACGCGGTTTGGGTCGCAGGTTCTCCACCTGGAACGAATGCAAAAGACACCCGCCGCAGGCGCCGAAGTTTTGGATTGTTCAGTGAACGTAGTTTTGGTCGCGGGTGGGTCGCGGGTTTTCCACCTCCACCTGGAAGGAATTGGAAAACAGCCCGCCGCAGGCGCCGAACATTTTGACGTGTACACTGAACGCGGTTTGGGTCGCGGGTGGGTCGCAGGTTCTCCACATGGAACGAATGCAAAAGAAACCCGCCGCAGACGCCAAAAATTTTGGGTGGGTCGCGGGTGGGTCGCGAAGGGTCGCGGGTGGGTCGTGGGCGCGGTTTGGGTCGCGGGTGGGTCGCAGGTTCTCCAGCTGGAACGAATGCAGAAGAAACCCGCCGCAGGCGCCGAAAAATTTGGGTGGTCGCGGGTTGGGTCGCGGATGGGTCGAGGGTGGGTCGCGGTGGGTCGCGGGTGGGTCGCGGGTGGGTCGCGGGTGGGTCGCGGATGGGTCGCGGGTTGGGTCGCGGATGGGTCGCCGGTGGGTCGCGGGTGGGTCGCCGGGGTGGTTTCGGGTGGGTCGCGGGCGGGTCGCGGGGTGGGTCGCGGGTGGGTCGCGGGTGGGTCGCGGGTGGGTCGCGGGTGGGTCGCGGGATGGGTCGCGGGTGGGTCGCGGGGTGGGTCGCGGGTGGGTCGCGGGTGGGTCGCGGGGTGGGTCGCGGGTGGGTCGCAGGTCGGGTCGCGGGTGGGACGACGACAACAACAAGAATCCGCATCGCGGAATTTCATTTCAACGACGCACCCAGGGACAGTGAATCACCGTTCGGTTCAGTCCCCTCACTCTGATAAATATATCCATACATGCATACATGCATACGTTCCTACATACATACACACAAACACACATACACTCATCCATGTATACATGCATAAATGTATCCAGACATATGCAACTGTATACATATGCATACAACCATACACATACACATACACACGTGCACACACACGCATACATGCATACATACGAGCATAAACACACACATGCATGCATACACACGTGTTTACAGACCTACATACTTACGTACGTGCGTACGCACGTACACAAAACCACACAGACACACATACAGAAATTCATACAGTCATGCACACATGCATCCTTACACATATATGCATGCACACCTACAAGCATACATACATGCATGTATGCACACACAGGCACATGCATGCATTCATAGATCCATACACACATACCCAATCTACATGTCCTCGAACAGCTCCGTGAGTTCAGTCGCCATGCTTACCTTGATGGCATCGGGATGCTGCCGAGCAGCGTCTCCCTTAAAGGCACTCAGAGACAGTGCAGAGCCGAAGTCTGCCCGAGTTCTGCACAGACAGGCTATCGCTGACCGCGCCGAAGGAAAGAGTGCCTTCCACGAGGGCCGCCCGCACACACGCGTGCACGCACGATCTTCCCGCTGCGGCATGTGAGCCTCTGGCTCGGAGGACTGGGAGGCGGGTTGTCCTGGTCGCAATCCGGTGCGATGCTCGCGCTGGAGATTTGCGGCTCGCTATCGGGGGAGAGGTGCGGCCTGCCGAATTGAACGCTTCCCCGTGCGGGAGCCGTCCCGCAACCGCGTGCGGGAGCCGCTGCCTGGATCAGATGCGGGGGCCGCTCCGCAACATCACTGAGGGGTCTCGTCTTCGGGTCGATTACCATGGCTCGCTTGATAATTTGAAATCGTCCGATCAAACACGAAATCGTACTGATAACCCTCGCGGAAGAACAGGTCTTTAAGAAGGCGGCGCAGGTAGGCGTAGTCGGGGCGGCCCTCGAAGCGCAGGCTGCGGCAGTAGTTGAAGTACCTCACGAACTCGGCGGGAAAGTGTTTGCACAAGACCTCGATCGGTGTAGACATCTTCTTATCCATAATCGTCTCGCACTTCTCCTTCTCGGAGTTGGCCTTCAGGCCCTGCCATGGCAGGCTGCCGCGGTTGAAGTACATCAGCGCGTGCCCTACCGCCTCCAGATCGTCGCGCATGCTTTGGTCGATGCCGAGGTGCGTGCTCATGCTCGCGTGCCTGGCAATGCCTGTCAAGTTCTTGCCCTCGCGATGCGGGATGTGCTGCTGGATCTTGAGGTCCCTAACCCGAAACCGCGCCTTCTTGCCCAGGCCGATGAGGACGTTGTCGGGCTTGATGCGTGTACTCGGATACGATGCTTTAGCCGCACTCTGGGCCTCAGCATCCTGAGGACATCCTACTCATGCTTGAAGTTGAGCTGGTAGAAGATCGTAAGCTGCTCTCGTGAGGTACTCTGGCTGGAGTCCCCCTTGTCCAGGTACTGGTTCCAATCCATCACATTGGCTTGCCAGGTTCTTGAATAAGTTCTTGCTGACGAGATTTTGTAGATGATATCTGAACCCTCTCCGTCTGCAAGCGTAGTCCGTAGCGAAATTCTTCTTCATCAGAAAAAAGATGTGCTGCTTGTCGTCGGCGTTCTTGTTGTGCTCTTCCAGCTTGCTGGACCACGCAATGAACCTCCTGTGATATAATATTTACCACGTCCCCAGTTCTTCCGACGTAACTGTGTTGGGCCGTCCTGGGCACAAGTGTCTCGCATTTTCCCAGCAAATTGATATCCAGCTGGAATCTGGCACATCTTAGGGACAATGTATTCATATCGGGGAATGTTTCCAAAAATAAATGTTGGTCCTCATCTCCCCGTGCTTCATGATTGTGCAAAAGTCGCTTGTCTTCTCTGCGTCGGAAGAAATCTGATGATGTACTGAGATACTCCTTATCCTCATCCGTGATCGCATCCGTGTGACTTTCTCTGAGAACATTGTGTGTGTGGGCCTATGTCGTACGCATTGTGGTACCACCAACCCTTCGTGTCGTGTCTCTCCTCTGGCGTCCGTTGGTCGTTTGCCTCGTACCCTCTGCCTGTACCGTGAAACTTCCCCTCCAAGCTGGTTGCACAATGTTCCTCGGTAGATACAAGGTGGCCCACGGCTGGACGGTGTCCTTCTTGTTCTCTCAGATCGCGATCTTGTACAAGCAGTTGTTGACGTCGCCATGGGTGGAAATTCTTGGCGTGGACGTACTCCACGCAGTTGATCATCTGGTCCGCGAGCATCAGGACCATCTTCAGGCGGAACTTCCTGTTGCAGAAACTGAATAAGCCCTCGAGCGATGGGCCGGGCAGGTCAGTTACCATGGCGTTGTAGTCGCCCTCCACGCCGTAGCAATGCACGTTCGGGACGCCGACGCCGCCCACGAGGATCTTATACAACTTCGTTTCGAAGAGCAACTGTGATCGACCCAAGCTTGATGGCAACCTCCTCACCCGACCTCACACTGGTGCCGATGCAGATGCCTCCGAAGGACCCCGAGCCGATCTTGCGGCCCAGTTGGAACCTGCCTCCGACGCGCAGCTCCATGTTCAGGTTTTGTTGGCCCTGCGGGCCGCGGTCCACTGAGGTGGACTGCCTCCTCTCGGGAGCGGCCAAGAGGGGGGAGTCCAAGAGGGGGGGTGCAAATCATGACCGGCGGCATGTGCGCGGCCCAGCGGGGGGGCCAGGGACGTAATGCAATAAGAAAGGGCGCCATGAAATCTGGGGAGATATCATGGCCCCCGCCATGATATCCACCCCCCCTAGTCATCACCCCCCTCTTTGCCGCTCCCGATCCTCCCGGCAGCCGCGCTGCGCCGCCGCCCGGGCGGCAGCCCGGGGCGGGGCCGGCGCCTCGGACGCCGGGTGGCCGGTTTGGACACCCGAAATGGGTACCGAAAGAATGGGTACAATGCCCAATAACAAATGCTGTCCCAAACCAACAGCGGCCGCTGTTGGGCAGGCGGCCTTCTGTCTCGAATGGACACAGGCCGCGGCGGCGTGGACAGCGAATCCTGTTCAGAATGAACAAGAACTGCTGTTGGGTATCGTACCCATTCTTTCCGTGCCCATCTCGGGCGTCCAGAGCCGGCGCCCGCGGCGGACGCAGGGCCGGGGCCCCACTGCGGGGGCGGCGGCGCCGCCAGCTGCACGGGCGGCGTTTGGCGGCGGGCAGGCGCAGCGGCGCGGCGGCTTGAGCCAAAGTGGCTACGGATACCTATACACATATATACATCCGTGCATATATGCATACATACATGCAAACATACAGACACACATGCATACATGCATGCATGCATGCATGCATGCATCCACACATACATACATAGCTGCATACATACATGCATGCATGCATCCAGACATCCATAATACGTACATACTAGAGATACGTGTGTTTCGATGTTGTTTGTGGGAAGAGCGGGGGAGGGGGACAGAGAGGAGGGATAGAGAGAGAGAGAGAGAGAGCGAGAAACGAAGCAAACAGAGGGAAATAAAGAGAGAGAGAGAGAGAGAGAGAAATGGAGAAAGAGAGAGAGAGAGAGAAAGGACAACATATAGCGTGAGATACGGAGAGAGAGATAGAGAAAGAGACATAGAGAGAGGGAGAGGGAAGAGAGAAACAACAAGAGAGGGAGAGGGCGACAGACAGGGAAGGAAAAACAAACACTTCTCTCTCAACATAGGGAGAGAGAGAGAGAACGGGAGAGGCTAGTGGCTAGAGGGGGAAGAAGAGAGACAGAGAGACAGAGACGCAGAGAGGCACGTTCCAATTCGACCCAGAGAGCGGCCGCGCGCGGGGCCAGGAGGAGGCGCTGGGGCACCGCTTATTTAGTCCTGACGCAACAGATTTACCGATTCGTTCCCACTCCGACGCGTTCTCTTTCACAAATGCCCAACCCCACCCGTTTTTTAGGGCGTGAGTTGTGTAGAGCGTCCCCTCCCCCAACCGACCGGCGACAAACTAGGGCCACTGCCGAACCTTCTCCCACGATCCCTTGCGGAAATCATTCCAAAGTGCACTTTGCACCAAACTCTGGAGCATGCGCGGACGCCCCACGATGACCTTGAATTGGTGTTTGAGGGGGGTCGGCGGCCAGGTCGGCACATTGCATGTTGTGTGCAACGCCAACACCCCTCAACCATCCCTTGCAACAGAAACAGTACAACGTGCATGTTGCACTATCATGCGTGAACATCCAGTGATTTATTTGTATGGGTTTACCAGAAGGACGGCGAGGGGGGTGGCATATTGCCTGCTGTGTGAAGGCCCACCGCCCATTTCAACAACAAATACAAAGGTTACTTTGCCAGAGCGGCGGGTGTGGTGGGGTGGCGTACTGCCTACTGTGTGCAGGCCCACCATCCCCGAGTGCAACGCTTTGCGGGTGCACACCCACACGCAATACAACATGCTGGCAACACCGCAGTCACTGTGAATCGGCTGTTGACAGGGATGGTGGGAGGTCGACATCATTTCCCGATGTGGCGCGCCTGGTGCGCGTGGCGCACCTGGCATGTGCGGACTTCGCGCACCTGACTGGCGTCTGCATTGGTTCCCGACGGTTGTCGATGGCGTCCCCTGCCAGTGCTGAGAACCAGGTGCCATTTGTGTATCGGGAGGGCGGGTGGAGTGAGCGAGACAACTTGCAGCGTTCTCGCTGGAAACCTGTTCGCTGCTCATTATTGATGTGCACACCCTCCCCCACCCGACCAGCGACAAACCGGGGCCAATGTTAGGTCGGGCGTGTCCCCCTACAGGGGGATTTTGGACGAACATTTTTTGAAGTCAGAAAATATTCTAAAATATTCAAAACTGGTCAAACATTCGTCCCCATATTATGTTTGACTATTTTTGAATATTCCTTCTGTAGAGGGACAAGCCCGACTTAAGGCCAATGCCATCGCTCCCGGCATTCCTCCGAAAGACAACTCCGCATTCCGGCATTCCTCCCAATGCCAATACCTCCTGGCATTAGACATTCCTCCCCGCATTCCTCCCAATACCGCGTGCACATTGCGGCAACATCTGGACCGTGCGCGAGCGTTCCGTGAGCGTTCCGCTCTGGTTTTTGCAAAGGATGGCGGGGGCGCCCTCATCCGTGCGGGCCCACCGTCCTCGCTTTGAAGAGAAGGTCCCCGCCTTTCCTCCCTCCCTCCTTCCCTCCCTCCTTCCTTCCTCCCTCCTCCTCCTCCCCCTCCTCCCTCCCTCCTGCGTTTCACACACCCAATACAAACGTTTCGCAGCCCTGTAGGGAGCTCCACCGAAACCGAAAACATGCAACGCACGCTGGTTTCGGACTTTTTCTGTGCACACGGCTTCGAGGAAGAACGATGTGTGGATTGGTGCTGGTGCTTCGGGCTTCATCCGTCTCACTGAATGCTCGGCACTGCGCTTCAGGGGGGCGCCTGACTCACGAATTAGTTAGGATCGGGGCCCCTCTCCTCCTCTTCCTCCTCCGCTCCTCCTCCTCCTCCTCCTCCTCCTCCCTCCTCCTCCCTCCTCCTCCCTCCTCCTCCTCCTCCTCCTCCTCCTCCTCCTCCTCCTCCTCCTCCTCCTCCTCCTCCTCCCTCCTCCCTCCTCCTCCTCCTCCTCCTCCTCCTCCTCCTCCTCCTCCTCCTCCTCCTCCTCCTCCTCCTCCTCCTCCTCCTCCTCCTCCTCCTCCTCCTCCTCCTCCTCCTCCTCCTCCTCCTCCTCCTCCTCCTCCTCCTCCTCCTCCTCCTCCTCCTCCTCTCCTCCTCTCCTCCTCCTCCTCCTCCTCTCCTCCTCCTCCTCCCTCCTCCTCCTCCTCCTCCTCCTCCTCCTCCTCCTCCTCCTCCTCCTCCTCCTCCCTTTCCTGGCGCGGCCGAACTGACCTCTTCCGTGACGAGCCCCCAAACCCTCGAGGCTCCCCTCTGGACGCCCGCCCAGGTCTTGTCGCCAGGCGGAGGTGTCGTCATGGAAGGGGTCGGCTTGCCAGGGGTCGGTTGGGCCGCCTGCGCCTCCTCCCCAGACCTCCCACGCTGTGTTTTTGATGAGCTTCTTTTTCACCACCACCACCATAAGTTGGAGGGGGGAAGGAGGACGAGGGCGAGGAGGAGGACGAAGACGGGGAGGAGGAGGATGAAGAGGAGGCGGAGGAGGACCCCCCCCTCCAACTTATGGTGATGGTGGTGGAAAACGCGTCCATCATCTTTTGTTCGGTAACTGGGGTCCCCTGAAAGATTGGGCCCTTCCGCTGGGACTGGCTTCTCATCCGGAAAAATTGACTGGATTGTCGGCCCCGGGGCTCGGCGAGGGCACCCCGAGGGTGAAAATTGCCAAAAACCTCTGGTCGTGCTTTTGTTTTGCAGTCCTTTCCGTCCCCATTCCGGTTCTCCCGGTCCTCGCCTCCTCCTCCTCCTCCTCCTCCTCCTCCTCCTCCTCCTTGCCTCCTCCTCCTCCTCCTCCTGATCCTCCTCCTTGCCTCCTCCTCCTCCCTCCTCCTCCTCCTCCTCCTCCCTCTTCCTCCACCTCCTACTCCTCCTCCTCCTTGCCTCCTCCTCCTTGCCTCCTCCTCCTCCTCCTGATCCTCGCCTCCTCCTCCTCCTCCTGCTCCTCCTCCTCAACCCTTTCCCCCCTCCCTCCCCCGTCCCCCTCCTTCCCCACGCCGCCGCCTGCTGCCCCGCGCTTCTGCAAGGGGGCGGCGCCTGGACGCTGTCGGAGGCCCGGTCGCTGCCGTTGGCGGCGCAACCCTGCACCTCGCCCGCCCATCTCGGGAGGAGCCAGCGTGCAGGAGAGAATCGGGGCGTCTTCTTCCTCCTCCTCCTCCTCCTCCTCCTCCTCCTCCTCCTCCTTCTCTTCCTCCTCCTCCTCGTCCTCCTTCTCGTCCTCGTCCTCCTCCGCTTGGTGTTCTTGGTTGCCCTCGTCCTCTGCGTGGAGCTTGTGTCGCTCACACCAGTCTTGAGGCGAAACCTCGCAGGGAGCATATCCTCCTCATGGGTACTACGGGTACTTAAGGGGTCTGCTATGCCTGGCACAACAAATCCGTGGGCACTAGCCCAGATTACAGGCGTGTGACACAATCCCCCATAGTGGTGCCGCTGACCTGTTGACACTTTGTACTTGGGAGCTTGCCTCTCAATAAGGTCCGCTTCTCCTTGCTGTTATTAGGCTCGCATCTCGACCTCAGCTTGATGGCTTTCTGAGTCCCAATGGCGCCGCTCCTGGAACAAAGCCATTCTCCTCGTCCTCCTCTGCTCCTCCGCCGCCGCCGCTCGCCTGCCTGCTCGCCCAGCTCTCTCCAGACTGCGGCCGTGCTTTGCGCCAGTCCGCCAAGCGTGCCGCGAAGGCACGGAGAGGAAAGTCGGACGAAAGGGGTCGAGGGTCGAGGGTCGAGGGTCGCTGAGTACGTGTTGCGCGGCGCCCGCGCGGCAGCATGCCCTTAGGGCTCAGCGCTCAGAGATGCGAGCTGGTCAGCCCAACGCGTGGCGGGGCGGCCCCTGCTCCGGAAACCACTCGGCTGCCACTTGAGTGCCTTCTTCGCCCAACGGTCGTGACTCATCGCCTCCACGTGCATGCCCCACCGACGCTGGCGGGTTTGCAGCTCGGCGTCCCAAGGCGGCACTCCGCACTCATGCATCGCACACTTCGCCTCCGGGGTAACCCGCTGCAGCCATTCTACCCACGTCTCCAATACTCCATCCGGCTCCCGCTTGCGGCTCCGCCCCAAGATCATGCGAATCATCTTCAGCTGGGTGGATCTCAGCCGCGCCATCCTCGACTCTGTCATCACCCAAGATACGCAACCGTATAAGATTGTTGGGGTGAGCACAGCGTGGAACAGCTTCAACCGCAAGGACAAAGGCACGGCCTTGTCGAGGAGCTCGCCACGGTACACGCCAAACTTCGACCACGCCTTCCGGATCCGGTGGGTGAGTTCCGAATCGTGCGCGTCGGTTAGCGAGAGAGCCCTCCCGAGGTACATGGCATGTTCCCTTTGATCCAGGACTTCGATATCCATGCCAGCTATCCTCGCTTTCCTGACGCGGCTGCCATAACCAATACTATTGTGCTGGATCTTTGTCTTAGCAGGGTGCAAGACGAGTCCAACCCTCCCGCCCTCCTCGACAATGTCTACCAGCATCTGCTTCACTTGAGGCAACGTGCGGCCGATGATCAATATGTCGTCAGCAAATGGCAGGTTAGTTACAAACGAATCCGGACCACACCCAAGCTGAATGCCGTAATTCCGTGAGCCCCACTTCACTTTGGCCCTGCGCATGACTTCCTCCAGGACAGAATTGAATACAATGGGGCTGATTGGATCTCCCTGCTTGGTCCCCTTGCGGATGGCAGCGTTCCGAACTCGACCGCGTTGTCCCTGGTAGAGTCTGGAAAGGACGTCCACATACGCTGGCGGAGCGCCGTGAGAAAGCAGAGACGCCCAAATACTGCTGTGGTCAATCGAGTCGAAGGCCTTCTTAAAATTAAGCGTGGCAACCGAAAGAGGCAAATTATACTCGTTGCATTTCTCTGCAATAAGGGTCAGCGCGAAAAGGTGGTCATCGCAGGAGGACGAAAGGAAGGTCGGACGAAAGGGACGGATGCCAAAGGTCGGGTGTTGCTAGAAGTGCCCCGGGCCCGAGGTGCCCCCAGCTTTTCGCTCCATTTGGGGGGCCCTGGGGCCCTCTGGGCCTCGTGAGGGGTGCTCTGGAGGCCGTCTGGGCCACCCCGAAAATCCTGGGGGCACCGTGGGCCACGGGTACTTTTGGCAACACCCGAACAGGAGAAGTTGGCGAATCGGCTCACACAACGGGTTTCCCTGGCGCCTCCCTGCGCCGAAGGGGCGCCCGTGCATCGAGGAGGGCCCCCGGCGGCGGGGCCGAAACCAGCCGCGCGCAGCACATTTCGGACCCCCCCTTCCCCATCCCCCCCTTCGTCCGACCCGAGAGAGACACATGGGATGAAGGGAAGGAATACGTACAGCCTCAACATGGCCACCCGGAGCGCGGGTCAAGAACGTGAGCCCCTTCGCCGGAGGCCCAAGGCCCAAGGAGATATGCCCGAAACGAAAAAAAACGTTGAGGTGGAGGGACTCCAACATGAAAAACATCACGGTGCCCATGTCCAAGGCTGGGGCTGTTCTCACCCCCCGCGCCAGCTGTACAGGCCCCCTCCGTGGGGTCCGAGTAGAAAGGGTCAGAGGATCGCGCGGCATCTCCGATGCATCGCCACAGTATCGCGCAAGAAAGCCTCAAAGTGGGCCCAGAGCGTCCTACGAAGCGATTGTTCGTGTTCCGCGGAGGGGCGTACTTCAGGAGCGCACCCGTTTTGATCGATGGCTGTCAGGAACGGCCCATGAAGTCGCCGAAAGTACCCCAGGAAGGCCCCAATATTCACCAGAGACAAAAGTACTACTACCACCAGCTAGGGGGGTCCCACCGCTTCGAGCTGGTGGCACCTCGTTCAGGGCATGCCTCCATAGAGTGCCCTGAAGGAGGTGCCACCAGCTCGAGGGGAGGGAGCGGCCACTCCCCTAGCTGGTGGTAGTGGTACTTTTGTCTCTCCTGAAATATACACCCCAAGGTTTCCCAAGACCGCGCCAGCTCAAAGGTGGCCCCAGCCAGCGAAGGCTTGGTTGGCTCGTGTCTTCTTCGCGCCTCGCCACAGCCACGAGCAACAAAAAGTCAAGAGTCAGCGGTGCAAGGGCCTTCACGGCAACTCGACGAGAGGCTCTGCATGTTTCGGGAGCGCCCCCACCCAGGGGAGGGCCAGGAAGAGGGAGGGTCAGATGGCCCGATGCATGTGCGCGGATGAGGGGGGGCCGGGGCAGGGAAAGAAGACGAGGGGGCCATGACATCTGCCATGTAGATGTCATGGCCCCAGCCATGATATCCACACGCACACACACACACACACTCAAGCCTCATCCCCCTCTGGGACGCCCCCGACCCATGTTACTACAAACATGCAAATGGGACATGCGCCGGAGACAATACGGATGCCGTCTCTCATCCTCTCTACCTCTATATCGTTCTCTCTCTCTCTCTCTACTTCTCTCTCTCTCTCTCTCTTTCTCTCCCCCTCGCTGTCTCACTATTAGTTGTTTGTGTTTCTCTCTATCTCTCTCATTCTCTATTTCTCGTTCTCTCTCTACCTATGAGTTCATATCTGTATATACATAGATAAATTGATGTATGTCTCTCTCTCTCTCTCTGTCGCTCAATGTTTCTGCGTTGCCTTGAACACGGCAACTCCCTAGAATTCGACGATTGATATAGGCTGGTGGGGAGACGCAAAACGTCGATACTTGCTCTTAATTAACCCAAATGCTCCTCCGCACAATTCGGGGCGGTTTTCCCTGCCCGCCTTTCCGCGCATGCCAGGGACGAGCTTGCATGACGCCGACGAAGCGTCGATGAGCACGCACGAGTCCCCCGTGTACAAGACCTCGTCTCCTGCAGTGGGGGGGGAAGGGTGATGTGCACGCACATGGAGGGTGGAGGGTATGGGGGGGAGAGGCAATGCATGCGAATTCGTACCACGTCTCACGTGTGACATCCCGCCCCTGCCGCCCATTCCTCCCACTGCCTCCACGTATACCTTTCTATTGGGCGAGTCGATTGCCGACTCGGGCTTGGACCCGAAAACGGCATCTGTCGCGGCCGAGCCCGTTGTCTGCTCTGGAAGGGCCCAGCGCAGCCACGCACGCGGGAGGCCGGAAGACGCTTCGGCGGAGGCACGACGACCCCGCGTGGGAGACAACCGAATTGATACCGCGGCTCCGACACCTCTGGGAGCCAGGGCAACGATGAGTGTGGGCGAGAGGGGCAGGAGGAAGAGGGAGAGGAGGAGGAGGAGGAGGAGGAGGAGGAGGAGGAGGAGGACGAGGAGGAGGAGGAGGAGGAGGAGGAGGAGGAGGAGGAGGGGAAAGGGGGGAGACGAGAGATGGCCGGACTCCCCGGGTGGCCAACGGGCTGCTTGGCGCGTGCTTCTTAGATCGGGGGGAGCTCAAATACCCTGCAGCTCACCAGCATTGACCTACGACTCGTTTTCTCGAACCGCAGAAACCGCAGAACCAGGGAGATGACTCCTGCTCAACTTACCTGGAACCTCAGTCAGAAGCTCAGACGGACCTGATTTCTCACCTGTTTAAGTTCCCAACTTTTCTGAGCGTGCACGAACTGACCCCTAGAACCCATGCGGGGAACCCGCAGATGTGCCACCACCAGACTAGCAAAGCGATCGACATCGCCACCACTTTCGCGGGGAACCAAGGAGGGTTCTCTGGGTCATGGGGTCCCTGGTGTTGCGGCGTCCCGCTCGCAACACCTCCAACCTCCAGCCCGGGCCGGCAGCCTCAGGCATGTCATGGACCTCCTCTCTAGCGGCGGTGGCCCTGGTGCTGTCGCTTTTCTCTCATCCCACACCCGTGGACAATGTACCACATTCTCGGCAGCCGAGTGTCTGCGCGGGCTTGCAAGAAAGGGCCTTCGAGGCCCTGTGAAGCAACAAGCGGAAACAAGCACCTCAATAACGAAAATGAGCAGCGCTGCCAACCTGACCCCTTTTATCGGGGATCTTCTGACCCGGGTCAATCCGGACCCGGGTCAGCAGGAAACCCAAAAACTGCAATGCAAGAAAGAAAAACTGCAACGCAGGTCTTCGCAAACCCGGGTCAACCAATATGCGCGTCCGCCTCGCGGCCACGAACGGCTCGCTAATCCGGGTCAGCCAGAGGGGGTCTTCACAGGATCCTGCAGGATCCAGTGCCCTGGCTGACCCCCGCTTGCATTGACCCCCATCTCTTGAGCCCAGATTTTTTTAAGCGGCCTGCACAGACCCTCCTCCGGCGGGGGGCGACCAAAACCACCTCCGCCACCGCCTAAGGAGAGGGCTGCCCAAGTTCCCCTCGCGGGCTCAGGCGGCAGGGCGCACGCAAGGCTGAGCAGCGCCACAGGCGGAGGAGGGGGAGGAGGAGGAGGAGGAGGAGGAGGAGGAGGAGGAGGAGGAGGAGGAGGAGGAGGAGGAGGAAGAGGAGGAGGAGAAGGGGAAGGAGGAGGAGGAGAGGACGAGGCACCCAAGGGTAGAGGAAGACGCAAACACAGCCGGCCAGAACAAGCACAACCACATGCGGCCACAGTGTTCTCTCCGACACAAGCCCAGTCCCCCAGCCGATCTCGGCTACACGCAGTGCCGGAGTGGCGGGGGAAAATCTCTGCCAAGCGGGCGGTGGGGAAGGCCACGCACGCCCACTCCGCGTCTCGTCCTCCGCCGAACGTCGGTCTGACGCCCTCCAGCGCCGTCGTTTGGCACGCCCGAAGTGGGGACCGACAGAAACGGGTACGATGCCCAACAGCGGACACTGTTGGGCAGGCGTCTTTTGCCTCGAATGGACGACGTCCCGAGCGACAACGACAGCGAGCCCTGCTCTAAATGGACAATGACTGTTGTCGGTCTTCCCCCCAAGTCTGGAGGAGCAACGAAAGATATACCTTAAACTTCCGGAGCCCGCGAGGATCTCTTGGATTGGCGCTGAACCCCCCCCCCCCGGGGTCCAGCGCCGCCAGGGGGACCCAGCGCCGACCCAAGATATCCGCGCGGAGCTCCGACGATATCAGTTTATGTAATTGTGTGTTCTTACATTCCCCGCCCCCCTCACAATCGCAACGACTCGTGACCCGACTCGCCGCGCGTCCTACGCTGAAGCCGCCAGGGATCACGGGCGGGGACTTCGACACCTGAGCGCGCGCGCGCGCTCGCGCTTGCTGGGGGTCCCAAGACGGTGCGGTGATGGACCTTGCGGTGACCTCGGAAACCCCAAAGGCCTCACCGCACGTTTGGCAGACTGCTGGGAGGTCTTCGCAAGAACGAAAAAAATACACAAGCCCGAAGTCGCTATTGAAACAACCGGCGCACAGGAAGCCAAGCCTTGAGACGGACAAGGCCAGATGGAGCGGGGCTGCGCGGAATTCAGCAAGGTTAATCTGGATTGCGTAGGCTGTTACATAGGCGTAGGTCGGGCATGTCCCCCTACAGGCGGATTTTGGAAGAAAACTAGAGAATAGTCTACACACACCTCACAACGGCAAAGAATACAACAAACATCGTCCCCAGACTATTGTCTGACTCTATTTCTGAATATTCCCCCCTGGTGGAGGGGCAGGCCCGACTTCCATACCAGCGCCGATGCCGAATCTCACCGCCCAGGGGCTGCACACGAGCGCACGGGCCGTCGCAGCACGGCCGTCGGACCCCCGAAGGCCCCCAGGGGGCGGGGCCCCGCGACGTCCTCGGGGAGCGATGCGCATCCCGAAACCGTGCGGTCACGTCAACGTCTTTTCCCTGCCCAGGCTCTGCCTAGAAGGGCTCTTACCCGATGGCTTGAAGGCGGTTCCCCCGGTCCCCCTGGGAGCGGTTCCCCCAGTCCCCTGGGAGCTTCAGCTTTAGCCTTGTTGCTACTGCTGATGCTGCTTTCCTAGGGGCTCCAACTCCTAGGCAGGGTCGCTCTGGGATAATTCCACACTCGCTGCCTGACCTCGCTGGGAGCCCCCGGGGCTCCCTCGCATCCTGCCCTGCCCTGCTGGGCCTGTTTTCCATCACTACCAACACAAATTGGAGGGGGAGGGGGTCCTCCTCTTCCTCCTCCTCCTCCTCTTCCTCCTCCTCCTCCTCCTTCTCCTCCTCCTCCTCCTCCTCTTCGTCTTCCTCCTCCTCGTCCTCCACCTCCACCTCCTAGGTAGGGGGTCCAACGCCGAGACGTGTTTGTTCCACCCGCAGCGGCAGAGGTCCCGACCCCTTCCCTCGCTGTCGTCTCTCGCCCCGGGCCCACCTCTGGCGGCCCCGAGGCCCGACAACGGCCTCCGAGCCCCGTCGCTCGGACGTCCAGTCCGCGTGCGTCGCTTGGTCTCGTGCGGGCATCTGTTCTCAAGCTGACCCAGGGTTCGGGTGTTGCTAGAAGCGCCCCCGGCCCGAGGTGCTCCCAGCTCTTCGCTCCATTCGGAAGCCCCTGGGGCCCTCTGGGCCTCGTGAGGGGGTGCTCTGGAGGCCGCAGGGGCAGCCTTGGGAATCCCAGGGGCACCCAGGGCCAGGGCCAAAGCACACGCACGCACACGCACACGCACACACGCACGCACGCACCGCACACGCACACGCACGCACACACGCACACACGCACACACGCACACACGCACACACGCACACACGCACACACGCACACACGCACACACGCACACACGCACACACGCACACACGCACACACGCACACACGCACACACGCACACACGCACACACGCACACACGCACACACGCACACACGCACACACGCACACACGCACACACGCACACACGCACACACGCACACACGCACACACGCACACACGCACACACGCACACACGCACACACGCACACACGCACACACGCACGCACGGCACACGCACACACGCACACACGCACACACGCACACACGCACACACGCACACACGCACACACGCACACACGCACACGCACACGCACACGCGCACACGCACACACGCACGCACACGCACACACGCACACACGCACACACGCACACACGCACGCACAAACGCACACACGCACACAACGCACACACCCGCACACACCCGCACACACACACACACACACACACGCACACACACAGACGCACACACCACACACGCACACACGAACACACGCACACACGCACACACACGCACACACGCACACACGCACACACGCACACACGCACACACGCACACACGCACACACACACGCACGCGCACGCGCACACACGCACACGCGCACGCGCACGCGCACGCGCACGTGCACGCACGCACACGCACACAAACACACA